AGGACACAGTGCCTGTAGGGATGGCTAATATGTTGGATACCAGACACAGATTTTAAAAAAGAAAAATCTCAATAATGAGCCAAAACTGCTAAGATGAAATTTAATTAGGGTGTATATAAAGATAGCTTATACATTTATATTAATATGTTTTGTATATGTAATTCAATTAGTATACAAAAGAACCTGCACTTAGGCTTAAGAAGTTAACTACATAGTTCAAGATAGATTTAGGTATTTTAGTTGACTACAGATTCAATAAGAGTAAAGAGTGTAATATGGTAGCCAAAAAAAAAAAAGCAGGCTTCCTTAAGAGGTTTAGTGCTTAGAACATGGAGGTAAGGAATATTCCCTACCCTGGTCAGTACACATCTGGAAAATTGTATTGAGGTCTAGCCATCACATCTTAAAAAGCAACAATTATAAACTGGCATATGTGTGTGTGTATCTATCTATCTATCTATCTATCTATCTATCTATCTACCTATATATATATATATGTATATAGATATATGTAGATATAGATATATATAGATATAGATAAAGTTATATATCTATGAAGAGAATGCCCAGTCATGATGGGGAGGGGACGTGATCATTCTATCTTAGTTTTTGAATAGGGTGCCATGTGTAAAGAGATTAGATTTCATCTGTGTCACTCCACTGAGCAGAATTATGACCAAAGAGAGGTAGACAGAGTCAGATTCAACATAAAGAAGGCCTAAAAAAAATTAGAGCTGATTAGAAATGGAAATACTAAGTTCTCTGGTATTGAAGTGTTCAAGCATCGTTTATGGCTGTCATTTGTCAGATATGTTAAAGAAGAAAGTCATAGAAAGTCAAACCAGATGATTTCTAATGCCCCTTCCAATTTCAACATTCTATGATTTTACTATATTTTCAATAACATCTATTGACATAAAGTACCCATCTCTGCAAGTGATTCATGTCTGAAAGTTTGGGAAACATTATTTCTCTGTGTCTTCGTTTCTTAAGTCCTTTATCAATAAACCAGTGATATTTTTTCTTCCCACTGATACTTTTTTTTTAACTGCTGAGGTAACTGACTGGCACAGACTTTGAGAAAACACTGTTTGAAAGAACTATACAAATATTATTATAATTTGCATTTCTTCTCTTAATATTTTTAGAAATAACAAATATGTACAACTCAGCAACTTGTCAGTAGAGAGGAAAAACAGGGGAAATTAAATCCAAATGTGATAAAAATTCTTGTAGTTTCTCCTAGTCAGCCAGAGAAGAAAAAGAAAATTCCAGTTCAACATGTATATTTTATGTTCCAGAGGAACACAGGGTGAAATGGTGGGGCAACAAAGCCACTGGGAGGATTAAGTATAATGGTAAAATGGCGTAACTATCTAATTAGCTAATTAAGAAGTTGCTCTTCTAGCATATCAAAAATATGCATTGTACCATGAAATAAGTGACGTTCGCTATAACATATCTGCATATTCCCTGTGGTTTCTTAAAGCAATACATGGATATTATTGACTGCAGCCAGATGCCAGGAAAATCAACATTCGCTTGGTGAGAAAAAAATAATTGATAAACACAAATCTAATGGAGAATTTTAGTTTATTTAGCAAGTTGCAAGATCATTGTCAGATATATTTTCTTTCCAACATAGACTTGAAATAGAAGGTGAAATCATATTTACAACACACAATTTGCCCCCCACAAATGTCCCACTTAAAAACCAAAATTTCAGTCCTTCTGTCACTTATACGTGTTTTAAAAGTATGTATCAAGTTTAAATAAAGGACTGGAGCAGGACAATGTCAACTTCATTCTATTCTCAAGATAAGCAGCTAGGTAGACAGAGTGCTGGGCCTGCAGTTGGGAAGACCTCAGTTCAAAAGGAATAAACATAGTCTGGGCTTAGGTGTCACTTTCAAGAGGGGGCACTATGCCAGGATGCCAGGAGCCATTCAGGAGAAGTGTTGGATCTCCAGAGTTAGGAGGTGGAATAGAAGATCCTCTCCGGGCCAGAGAGATAATCAGGAGACAAGCATGCACTCATGCCTAGGCTTAGGTATCATTTGATAAGACCCTGCATGGTTCAAAGAGTTGTTTAGTTTTTGGTTTTGTTTTTTTAATTTGTAATGCATTCAGGGTTAATTGACTTGCCCAGCGTCATGCAGCTGGTAAGTGTCAAGTGTCTGAGGCTGGTTTTTTTTTTTTTTGTGAGTGGTTCAAAGAGTTATTGATCTAGTTGTCCACACTTGATATGTAGAAAGGTTTTATGTATATAGGGGATGATCAAAAGAGTTCCTTGATCAATATGATGACTTTATTTGGGGTACTGAGTGAAGTTAAGACTCAGATTGTATCTTCTGCATATAGACATCACCTTGGCATCACCTCTAGGATAGATTTTACTGGTGAGGTTGTCCTGTAGAAGTATGATCCTGGGATCTAGCACTCAAGCAAGAGCAGAGGAGAAGAGGATCATCCACATGGTTCTCATAACTGAAGGATCAGCAAGGGTCTACAGCCTTCACGTGTAGGATCAAGGGAACAGAACCTGTTCCTCTACTATCAACATGAGTTATTCAAACTGCACAAATCTTCTGGAAACAGAGATTGCCTGCCTAGCAACCTCAAGTTCATTTACCTTAAAAGAGAGGTTCAGACTACAAGACAATGCTGTACACCTTCAGGATATTAGGACCTTGGGGAAAACTGAAGTCCTCCAGAGAAGAAGGAGAGCTATATTGTTTATGAATGACTGAGTCCATTTTGTTATTTTGCGTTCTCTCTGAGAGGGAGTAAATGCTGTCCTGAATTGCATATGTTTTAACTGAGGTTGCTTATATGAGGAAGAGGAGCCTTTTACTGTGTGAGGAACGTGAGCTATAACTGAGCTAAAATATATTCTGACATTTCCCAGAGGCAACTCTGGGGGCTGCCACAAGCCAAAGGGAGAATAAAGAGGAAGAGGAGAAAGAAGAAGGAAAAGGAGAAGGAGAATTTAAGAAAAAGTAAGGATAACATAAGATGATTTGCAGAATAAATGCATGGAGATAAAATTTCACATACATGGAAAGAATATAAAATTAAAATTATAACCAGTAATTACTTATATACACTGGCTGCTGTCAAACAAAAACTATAGGAAAAAGTAGGAAACCTTTAACCTTGTCATATCACTAGGGGGGTGATCAATCAGTAGTTAAGGTAAGTAGTTTCTACTAAGAAAATGAAAAATCCTGTCTTCATAATAGTAGTCAACAATCGGTGGCCTGGAAAGAGCAGTAATCAATTGTGCCAGTATATTTTAATAAGAGTCCTGCTAACTCGGGTTGCTGGCAAGATTTGTGAGGCCATGAGAGGTGCAGAGGGGAGGACCAAAAGAGTAATTGGGGCATTCTCAGGAATGTATTGTTTGTTTTCATTCCTCTCTACTTTGCATTCTTGACTCTCCATATGATTTACTCCATCAGGTCAGAAATCTGGAAGCTCACTCTACTTCTGAACGACTTCCAAGTACCTTCTGTCACTGTGGCTTCTCCCTCTCATTGTCTGGTTCCTCCTAGAATTTCCACTTTAGAGAGGATATCCAGGCCAACCATGTTTTGGTTCCTCTCTGACCTGCCTTCCTCCTTCTCTGGATTTGCTCTACCTTCATTTCTACTTCTCTGACCTTTTCAGCTTCCTTTAATGTGTTCTCTTCCCCCACTAGACTGTAAGCTCCTTGAAGGCAGAGACTGTATTGGTATTCCCTGAGTTTAGCAAAGTGACTGGCACATAGGAAGAGTTTAATAAATGTTTGTTGATTTGCTTTTTCTTCACCTGTTGGTGTCTCCAACCTGTTGTCTAAGACTATAAATTGTAGAGCATAAATTTCTGATTAGGCTTGAGAGACAATGCTCCGAGATAGATTCCCCAAACAAAAGCAATCACAGGTCCCATTCAAAACAAACAAAAATAATAAACAACCATCACCAAAAGCTGCTGTGTCATAGAAGAAAGCCAAAAGTTGTTAGTTTGCTCGAGTAGCCCAAACTCTAACTATGGGTAAAAAGCATGCGTGTGTAACCCCATGTATTTCTTGGGTCCTGAGAGCATCTCATATGCCGCCTCCCAGCACCTTAGCTCTGGTATTTGGCCAGCCAGCTGGAGATCCTACACCTGTCCTAGGATGGCTTCTGGCAGAACCCCGGCATGCGTTTAGTGCCCCGCCCTCCTCACGGTGCCCAGCCAATCACAATTGGGCACGCCAAGTCCAAACGCAGCTAACTCCATCAGTCGAATAACCTACGAAAGAAGCCGAGCTTCTGGCTGCACCTGCTCCCTTGCTCTAATGCTGGCTTTACTAGAGAATTCAGAACCTTTTCCTTGCTTTGATCTGAGTGCCTATTTCCACAGAGTTGTTTCTTCCGCCTGACAGTGGAAGAAGTTGGGAGAAAGAAGTGTACAGATCTCGAGGCTGGGAGAGAGTGGGAGGAGAAAATAAAAAAAGGTTTCGACCTGAACCAGAAAGTTTAATGAGCAATAACACAGAAAACCACATAAGCCTGGGGGCTTGGGGAAATGAAGACTTCTCTCCCTATCCCCTGCAACAGCCCCGATGAGATACTTTTAAAAATCACGCAGGCAGGCATCTGGCTAGAGAGAATTTCCCTAGAGCACTGAGCTCTTTGAACGGGTGCCTGCTACAGATAGTGTGAGTATCCACAGAGGATCTAAAGCAGCCTAGAGCTGGAAGTGAATGAGCCTCGCGGCTTCAGGCGGCTTCTAAGTGCCCGCGGACCAAAGCCTCTTCAGCTCGCGCACACATCCCACCCGGCAGCAGGTAATGAATGAAAGGCGGGGACAGGGAGCGTCTGCTTCAGCCTACGGAGCAGCCGGCCTCTCTTCTCTCTGACGTAGCACTCCCTATAAAGGGAATGCAGGCTGCTGCGGCTCGGTTACTTCAACCCCAGGGCGAGAGATGGTTTGAGCTGGACTCACTCCTACCCCAGCCCTGCCAAGAGGACGCTGACAAGTCTCCGTGGCTCTGTTAAATCCCTTAAGAGCAACACCCTCTTCCTCCCTCGGATCTAGTCTTCATCCCTATACTCCTGCTCATGTCCCTCCATCTCCCGGCCCCAAACTCTCCCCAGACTGCAGAAGCGCGTTTTACCACCCACGCAGTTCAACCCTCAAAGCATTGCTTTGCTTTTCAAGGGGTAAAAGACGACGTTTGCATTGTTCCTCTGGAAGGAGGAGAGAGAAGAAGAAAGAAGGAGGGAATCAGGGATCAGGGAAGTCTGAGAGGGTCCGCGGTCTGGGTGGCAGGTGGGTGGAACAGTTGAGAGACTTCAGCAGCAATTGCAAGGATGGCATCTCTCTCTGGATCTACAAACTGGACAGAGCGGGGTGGTGGAGGCAGCACCACAGACTGGGCAAACCTGAGCTCTGCTGTCCCAAGAGCTCTGGAGGGAGCGGGGATCTCAGGAAGCGACTGGATGCAACTGGTGGCTCAGACTGGGAATCTCTCTACTTCCTCGCCCTCCCTAGACTTATTCGGGGGTGCCTTGGCCACTACCTCCCCAGAGCCTTTGCAACCAACTGCAAACCTCACCAACCAGTTTGTGCAGCCGTCCTGGCGCATTGCGCTCTGGTCCCTTGCCTATAGCATGGTGGTGGCGGTGGCTGTCTTTGGAAACCTGATCGTAATCTGGATCATCCTGGCCCACAAGCGCATGAGAACGGTGACCAACTACTTTCTGGTAAACCTGGCTTTCTCAGACGCCTCCATGGCCGCCTTCAATACCTTGGTCAACTTCATCTACGCTCTGCACAACGAATGGTACTTCGGAGCCAACTACTGTCGTTTCCACAACTTTTTCCCTATCACCGCCGTTTTCGCCAGCATCTACTCCATGACTGCCATTGCGGTGGACAGGTAAAAACGAATGAGGGAAAGGAGACGGGTGAGATGGGGAGGCCGTGACTGGGAGTTCAAAAGAGAATAGGAAACATCCAGGGAAGAAGCCCCGAGCTTGCGGCAAAGGACAGTTATTGGGGAGCACTGAGGGAAAATCAAAGAAGAGGGGAAATAAGGGTTTTGAAAGGAAAAATACAAGCAGGTTGCAGACCTCTGGAAAGATTTCCTTCTTTTGCTCCTTCTTTGCCAAAGATGAGGGTACTGAATCGTAGCCCTCTTTCTTCTTCTCATAGTTGTAGCTCTTAGGACTTCAGATCTCAAGCTAGAAGGGACTTCGAAGAATATACAGTCCAATCGCCTTATTTTACAGAGGAGGACACTGAGCCCCGCGAAGTAAGATCACGGGTAGCGTCAGGCAATTTTTGAACCAAGGTCCTTGGACCTGTTTCTGGCTTAAACTTTATTTACTCTAGTCCCAAGACTCTGCTGGAACCTCTCCATCCTTCCACACCCCATTCTGTGCCTGGAATAGCTATAGCTTGAGCATTTAAAGCCCCGCTCCCTCCCCTTTGCATGGCCCTCAGCCCAACCCTAGCTTGGAACTGGTGACTGTCGCTCAGCTTCAGCAGTCTTCCCTGCGTTTGGTGCAGGACCCACAGCAGAGCTCCAGACAGAAAGAAAAGGCATCTGAAGGGCTCAACACCTCCCTGTCCCCCCTCCTCCTCTCTGGCTACTAGGCAGGGAAGCAAGCCGATAGACTTGTCCTGCAGTTCCCCAAAGCATTATCCTGCCCAGGGGTTAGGACTATCATCTATCTTCTCTCTCTATCATATATCTTCTCTTTCTTTCTACCTATTTATCATTTACCTTCTCTTTCTATTATCTATCTTCTCTCTATCATCTGTCTTATGCCTATCTCCTTTTCTTTCTATCTTTCTATCTTGCAGTGATATAGTGGATAAAGAGCTGGTCTAAGTCAGGAAGAACTGGCTTCAATCCTCCTTCTGACATATTAGTGTGCAATACTAGGCACATCACTTACCTTCTAGGTCACAGGAGTGAGGACCCTGAGACCTCGAGGCCACATGTGACCCTTTAGGTCCTCAAGTTCTACCCTTTGACTGAATCCCAACTTCAAAATAATTTGTTCTGTAAAACTTGGAGTCAGTCAAAAGGCTGCCCCCAATGACGTAGAAAGCCACATGCGGCCTCCAATCAGAAGGTTCCCCACCTCTGTCTAGGAGATAGGCAGCAAAAGTCTGCCTTTAGATAGGACCAAAGGAATTGGATCATATGCTTGCCTGTCATAAAGTCTGCACTGCTTCCTTATAAATTACAATACTTATATTCATAGAGCACCTCTAACTTTTCAAAGTCCCTTCACAGCATTTGTTCATTTTAGGGGAGGTAATGTCCTCTCCCAAGATGTTCAAGTTATTAATGTTGCATAGACATTGTCCCCTTTAAAAACAGCCACAATATAAAAAAAAAAAATTTGAATCTCTATTCTCAGTATGAACACGTAGAGACATATCCAAGGGGGGAAAAACTTTGAAATCCATATCTATTAATGAAAGTTGCTTGCACAAAAATTCAGTCCAACCTGTATTAGGCAAATATTGTGGATGTATAAATGTGTGGGCATATAAATGTACAGAGAAAGAGACTGCTGCTGTGATTTCTTTGATCTAGGAGACTCCACTAGGCAGGTTAGCACCTTCTCTGCAATTTACTTACTGTCTTAGCACTGAAAGCAAGAACTTCCCTGGGGTCCCAGAGGTGATACTTGAGCTGAGGTCATCACACTTTGGATCTGATCACCATGGTGGTGCTGTCTCTCAATGTAATATATAAGTATACATAAATATAGAAAAAGATACAGATATATCATTTGAGTTGAAATAACACTAACATCCATCTATCATCTCTCTACCTCTCTATCTTTCCTACTTAAGATGAATGAACCCTAACATTCATCCATGTGTCTACGTATATGTGTGTATCTGTCATATACCTTCTGTTATCTATCTGTTTCTCTTTCTATTATCTATCTTCTCTCTATCATTTATCTTCTCCCAGTCTAGGCAGCTCTCTAAGATTCTAAGTTGCAGAGATCTGGAAAGATAGAGGGATTTTCCTCAAAGAGGCCCACATACCAGTGAAGGCATAGGTCTAGTGTAGCTCCTAACACCCCCCAAACACACACACACACACACACACACACACACACACACACATCTAGGTTGTGTTTTCCAGTTCGGTCTGTGACATGCAGGATAACATTGGCTAAATCACTTAGAAACTTAGGCCTGAGATGTTTCACTTTCTTCCTATGAAAGAGGATGAAAGAATTATTGTCTCTAATTCACAGGATTATTTTGAGATTAAAAGGAAATCTTGTGCTTAATTTATCCCATTCTTTCCATCACTTTCCCTTCCCTATTTGAGAAGAAAATAAAGAAGTATGATTTTCCTGCCTAATAGCTCTTTTCCTGGGGTGCATCCCCTCCCCCTGTGCTGAAACAAAAACCACCTTGGCTCTTGGGGCGTTTTAAAGCACATCAATCAACATAAACAGCAAAGGATTAACCAGAGGAACAGGGACTGCTTGCCACAGGCTGGGATGAGGAGAATGAATCAGTGTTTACTGCTGTAATCCTACAGTTTCCTCTTCCTCCGCCCCTTCTCTTTATCTTTGCTTCCTTCCCACCCACCCCCCTCCCTTGAGCTAGGCACTAGTGAACTGAGTTTGGTCAGTAGAGAACTATTAATTGCCAGTAAACAGATTCTGCCTTGGTACAAGGTAAATATTGGCTCCTTTGGGAATGTGTTGTTCATTCCAAAGCATTTCCAACTTAACAAAGTAGTGAGTTGTTATTATAATTGCTTGTTATTCTTTATAGCACTGGAAAAACGTTTCATTCCTTTAGACAGTTTTCCTAAGAGTCTCTCTCTCTCTCTCTCTCTCTCTCTCTCTCTCTCTCTCTCTCTCTCTCTCTCTCTCTCCCTCCCTCTCGCTCTCTCTCATTCACTCCCTCACTTCCCTTTACCCATCTTCCTCCTCCTCTCTGCCCCTTTAATACCATCTCTTATCACTTTCCTCTCCATTCCTCCCTCCTTCCCTTAGCTCTCCCCTCAACCCTCTCCTCCATTCCTTTTCTCTACCTTTCTTCCTTCCCCTCCTTCTCTATTTCTTCTTTCCCTCCATTTCCCTCTCTGTTCTCAAAGTACACTCTAGCATGCACACATCTCATCTTCCTAACCAACCCTTCTACTATTGTGTTTCCTGACTCCTTTGCAACAAAATTCAATATCGGTGCTTAAAGTTTCTGTCAGAGCAATTTAGAAGGCTAGGAATAAAGAGGGTTGTTGGTTATTCTAGAGATCAAGATTAGATGGTTATTGATAACAGATCTTTTGCTTTTGACAGCCTGCCCCACAATAGAAATAGGTTGTACATCTTTGTGAATGACTTGTGTTTTCTACAATTAGAAATTAAACCAAAGGTTTACTATGTCTATGATCTTGTGGATTGAACTATGATTAATAAAGTCAAATGATTATCTTAGCAAGTTATTTCACAGAAACATTTTCTTTGCTAGTACAGCTTTGATCATTCTCAGAATCCCCTACTCAAAAAAACATGCAGAAGCTCCACGTTGCCTCCTAATGAAGACTACATCCTAGCATTCATGATCTTCCAAAATTTATACCCATACTCCCTTTTTTGTCTTCTCTCTTACTATTCTTCTAAATGTTCCAGCTTCTCTGATCTAGCCAAGTTTTTTAGCTTGACATTATCCAAACATGCCAAGCATATTCCTATCTCACTAGTCCTACTCTTCCTTCAGCCTGAGATGTTTCTTCTAGCCATCTTAAACAATCAAAATCCCAGCCATCCTTCAAGTTCTGGCTTCATTGCCCATTCCTCCATATTGCCTTCTCCAATTGTCCTAAAAAGAAATATTCCTTCCTTCCCCTAAAATTCTATGATACCTGACATTTCTAGAGAACTTAATGCATTCTGCTCCATACTGTTATTATATGTGTAGCAGGTTGTTAGACTGAAGAATTTGTTATGAAGGTGGACGTACACTCTGTCTCTTTGCTAAGGTCATGTCTCATTGGAAGGGGCCTCAATGCCTGCCCAGCTCCTTGGGGAATGGTCCATCATATATATCTACACACACACACACACACACACACACACACACACACACACACGTAAATATGTATGTGTGTAGGTATGTATATATGTGTACATATACACATATATACCTACATATATACAGATACGTATATATGTGTGTGTCTTGATCTGCCTCAGATAAGAATCTATGAGTCAAGAATTATGAGACAATATGCTACCAGAGACCTTGACAACACAAGCATGCCCCCACTTCCTTGATGACTACCTGCTGCTTTTGTCATGAGCCTCATCCCACAACAGAATCTTCTCCAAGGAGCACAAACAAACCTGGTCCTATTCGTTGACCAAATGATTTTGACCCTGGACTCAGTACATAAAAGTTATATATCAAGGAGAAGAAGATAGTACCAACCAAGGTTTTAGGAGCTGTGTTTTTTGGGTTTCTACTCTCTCTAAACAACTCAAGCTCTTTCTAAACAAGCTCAAATCAGTCACTTTGACAATACTGTCAAAGTATTATCAAAGCTGGGGCAGCTGGATTTTTTGTTCTTCTGGACCTGTGAGCTCATTGGTAAAGGTATATATGAGTGATTAAATTCTCTCTACTAATGCATCTACAACTGTTTTACAACTGACTTTTGTTTAGTCCTGGGACAATGTCCAGGGACATTGAGAGATTAAGTGATTTCCCAGGTTCACAAAGCCAGTATGTGTTGATTCTGGGAAAACAGCTCAACTGCTGCCTTCTGTAAGAGACCTCTCTCATTTCCCTCAGCTACTAGTGCCTTCCCCTTTAAAGACACCTTCCAACTACTTTGTATGTTTGTACCTACTTATACACATGTTGTTCTCTCCCCTTCCCCCCAAT